ATAGTACCATTCCTGAAAGCGAGCCGGCTACACGGTATTCGATCTCGTGCGTAACTCCCTCTCGCCAGTGTTTACCTTGCGCGCCTTTATTTATTCGAAGATTTTGCCTGTGAACGTAGTTTATCACTCCTTCCCGCTTGCAGCTCATCAGAATTACCATGCACAATAACAGTAGTACAGCAGTTCTGCTGCGGATGTATTTGGTAAGATGTTGGTGTGGCGAAATGTAACACATTATAATCAGCCCACTTGCAGTCGGATGAGTCTCGCGTTGTTGAGAAATAAACTAGATACGCTGCAATACCTTTATCCAACGAATATATACACTAACACTTTGTTTGCGTCTCTAATTTTGAAAGGATGTTTCACGTTTGTTGTCATCTTGCAAATTACTTTTATCACTGTAATTTGGATGTATTTCATCGTAATCACCCACTTTATTTTATAACGACGTCCTGTTGTCATGTCAGTGAGTTGCCTCCTGGAGGTTTCGCTCAGCTGGCGCAGTAACGAAAAACAACAAACTTTGAAGTGGACGGCCTGCAGCAGGGTGGTGCACACTGCCGAGTAAGCAGAGACGAGTCGAACTTGACAGGCACACCATTATGGTACCGCATAGTCCACTGCCAAACACTAGATGATGACCTGTAGAAACAGTCGGACCGATAGAAGAAAAACCAGCTGTTGTTTCTCAATGCACATTTGTATTCTGTTGCACTCTCCAGTTTTATCTGGCTCAAATTTAACTAGTGGCCGCCAGTGGTACATCGGTTGGTCGGATATCCACGTTTGAGCTTATCCTATTGATTTTAGTTGGCTCTGCTGCCACCATGTTAGATGAAGCCCCGGGAAATGGGGCGACTGAACTTCCAAATCCAGTTAACTATCTCGTCAATCGTAACACAACTTACGTTTTACCTGATTGCACACTTGCAATCCACTTGTGGAACCACTGACGAGTTGGTAAGTAAAACACCCAGGTCCTCTCATCACGAGGACGAAACACCTTGACCATCAATACTTCGATCGTTTCAATCAAGCGCTAGCGAAGCAAGCGACACAATGATAAGATTGTCACTCAGGCTCAAACAAATAATAATAATAATAATAAAATAATAATAATGTATATTCTCGGCATCACGGGACATGCCCTTTCCGGCACGGTTAGGATTCATTGGTGTGTAGTGAGCAGGAGGAGAGACCGTTGTCAGCTCTGTCGGTTCCGACACAGTGCATGTTTGACGCAACTGGCCGTGAAGTGGCATTCCTTTGGGGATCGCCGCCATGTCAGTAGGAGCAGCAGAACCCTGCCGTACTCATCAGATGGTAGTCAAGCTGCTGTTTGGAACTTTGTCGGCGCATCAGCAATGATCACCGGTAGGCTGTTCCAGTGCTTTATTACACAAATTGATAGGGCAGACTCTGGACGGACGTGAAGTATTCTGCTATTGTACAACTTCCACTTGTGGCCTCGTGTCGAACAATCCATGTTGAGCTGAGTGTTTTTACCTCACTCTCAAGTGCTCCTCGTAGGAGCCGAAGGGTGTAGATAAGATCTACATGGTGCCGACGATAATCCATTGGGAATATGCTCAGCTTTCAGAGTCGAAGAGGATAAGCAAGATCTCAAAGCTCCATGACGAATTTCGAGCCACGCCCCTGCATTCTTTCTAGTAACTCGCAATCAGATTTCAAGAGAGGATAGGTATCTGGAGAATGTGATGTGAACAAAATTCTGAAGACTGCCGGAGTGATACGTGAGAACGACCTGCGTAGAGTACCCAGCACCCTGTTTGCGGCCGCGACCTTAATCAGGGTATCTTGGAATGTAAGGTCGTGTGACAAGATAACCCCCAGATCCTTCTCGTGCGTGACATTCTTCAGAAGACAGCCACCAATGTGGTATACACCGAATAAATCCGGGTTACCAATCGGGATAAAAGCACAGTTGTCGCGGTTTACGGGTAGTTGCTACTTGAAGGACCAAGCGTGCAGCTGGTCTAGCGCCGTTTGGAGTCTGTCCGCGACCTCAAGGGTAGCTACTTTTGACCATGGCTTGAGATCATCATCATAGACTAAGCAGTCGGCTTGAAGATCTGCAGGGAGGTCATTAATGAAAAGCTTGAAAACTACTGGCCTAAGGACAGAGTCTGGAGGGACTCCGCTGGTCATGGACATAGATAAGGACAGCGTTTGGTTTAATTTTAATTGAAGAATTCGATCTCCCAAGAAGTCCGCAACCCATGCGAGGATATTTTCCGTGACGCCAATTCCCTGGCGGTTGAGCAGAAGTCGTTTGTGTGGATCTTTGTCAAGGGCCTTGATGAAGTCAGTGTAGATAATATCTAGGTCATCTACTGCACTGACCCATGCTTCGCTGGCAAAAATCAGGTTAGAGATGCAAGAGTGAGCTTTGCGGAATCCGTTCTAAGTGGGGGAGAGGGCGCGCAGACTGTCGTAGAGAGTGTGGATGGCACCCTTGAGGTTCCGTTCCATGATCTTGTAGACCACAGACGTCAGGCATATCGGTCCATAGTTTGCAGAGTCGTGCCGGTTCCATCCTTTGAACTTGGGCATTACAGTCTCAACTTTCCAGTCAGGAGGTAGGCGCCCGTCTGCAAGACAGCGCCGGAAAACTTGATGTAATGGATCAGCAATGTATTCTGCGGAAGAAGTCCATCGCGGCCCGGTGCGGAGTAAGGGTTCAGTCCGAGAAGTCTTTTGACAATCCCGGGATAAGAGATAGTTCATCACGGTCCACTCTCAGTCAGCTGGCGTTGGCAAGTATGGAAAGATACCAGACACCGTTGTTTCGACCTTCTTGGATCTCGTCAGTGGTGCGCCTTCCAGCGAACCCCCGCTGGGTTCTGCCCCAAGACTTCCGGATGCCAGCAGCTAGTGTCACTTCGTCATGGGTGACAGCCGCAGAGCTGCATGGTTGACAGTTGACTGTGATATAGCCAAGCTCATCTACTGCCATGCTAGGTACGAACTGTGAAGAGGACAGCAGTTAGCCCCACGAGCTAGGACTTGCCGCATAGTACAGGGACTTAGAAGCTATGCAGACAGATCTGATATAATTAATGAGTAGTGGGATTATGGTATGACTAGAGATAATTCATCACGGTTCACTCTGTCAACAGACTTTGGCTAGGCTGGAAAATCACCAGATGCTGGTGTTTCGACCTTCTGGGTCTCGCCAGTGGTGCGCCTTCTAGCAGACCCCTGCGGGGTTCCGCCCAGTGGCTTCCGGATGCCAGAAGCTAGTACCACTTCGCCATGGGTGACAGCCGAAGATCTGCACAATTGATATAATCTGGCTCATCTTCTACTGCCATGCCAGTTATGTACGGCTTCCTTTCCCTTTGGGCGCAGAGTAACCATACCCGGGCACGCAAACAGATGAAACAGGCGCTTCGCAGTCAGAGTTAGACAGAGCCTGTGAAGCAGCAGTAGTTACGCTGTAGGGGCGTAGGCTGGTCAGTAGTTTTTTGGAGTTAAGCAATGCTAGACACGGGTCGCAGTGAAAGCTTATGCTTTTAGAGACAGTGTGCTGAAGACATTGGTAGAGATCATAGCAACTGTTACAGCACCCTGTGTGCGTCCATCTCCCGCAGAGGGCGCACTGGATGGCTTTTGCTCGGATGGTGACGTCTGTGCTACATTCCACGCACTTGGAGGTCATATGTTCCGAGAAAAAGTTGACGAAAGTAAAAGTTTGTTGCAAGTGTTTACTGGAACACTTCTATTCACGATATGTCCACCTAAAAGACTGCAAAGTATAGCACGCCAAAAAGTGAGTTACCTCGTCAAGGTCAAGGATCGTGCAATCATGTTACGCCATTTCAATCACAGAAGCAAGCAAAGACGATAAAATAGAGTAATGGGTTGTAGCAAATTTTAAAGCAAAAAGTTAAAGGTTCAATTAAAGTAATACGGCAATTCGTGGAATCGTCTCCTGCAGACCTGTTTCTATGTGTGGTAATCAGATTAAAGATTTCACCCGCAGTTCCTCGCCCATCTGGCAATGTGCCGGCGAGAGCGAAAGGCTGCGCGCCTGGATTGTCATCCCTAGATCACCGGTTCAAATCCGCATAGGAGCGGGTGCGCTCGCGGTATACTCAGCGCACGCGCGACCGGTGGTGATCGCGTGGCAGGGAAGCGTCCGTAGTGTGCCGACGTACTGCTGATGAGCTTACTTGCTTCGGTGTGGCTTAAAAGCATGTAACATATCATTCCTGTTATACATTTTTCAGGTCATGTTTATGTGCGTTTAGAGCAGGCACTTAAGCCTATTTTGGTCATGTTCTGGTGTGGTCTAATAACATACAGGCCACTATCACTTTCTTTGAACGTCCCCTAACCTGATTACCTTCCCAACCCAAGTTCCAAGCATTGTCGACCAATCAGGTTAGCGTACTGCATTGATTTTAGCGTACAACTCACTCGTCCTGACCAATCCGTATGGTGCCTACCAGTTATAAAAGCCGCCTCCAACACAGATTTACCAAGTATTTGACGAAATATTTTCAGTTAGTCTGCCTGTGGAAACGTGCCCCAAAGCTCCCACGCACTGGATCCATTCTGCTCTACGTTTCGTGCACATTAACCCTCTCGCCTTGCTACACCGTCCCTAGAGTATTTCTATTTACAAATCAACGCTTTTGTGGATTTGTTTATGAAATGCCCGATTTAGAATTTACTTATACTTAATAGATTTCTCTTCGTTACGGTTTTCGGGACCGCAATTCACCCGACCCTATGATGACTGTTACCAACGAACAATGTATGTTCGGATGAAATATTCTCTTGATTTCTGGGAGCGAACTGAACCGAAATTCTTGGCAAGCGAATGATAACCAATTTATACTAACAGTTCTAAATGAAACCTGTTCACTAGTCCGTGTCACACACTTAGTTCGCTTGCAAGTATCGGTGGTCAGTCAAACCCAGTGAACAGTCAAAAAAGCTCTTCTGTCTGAAGAATATGAACAAACGCTACGAGCATTAAAGTGTATTCTGATATAAAAATAAGTTATCTTCATCGAGCAGAACATACAACTAACAGGTCAGGAAAGACAGAATGAAGCATAGGGGAACAATCGAAGTGACCCGGCTCAAAACGGTGCGATTGAGTCAAGGTGTGCATGTAGCGGGGATTGCTGAGGTTGTGTATCTTTGGTAGGTGAGACAAGTGGGTGGATAAGGTTTTGGTCGCTTGGACAGACATTAACTGCCAGCGGGATGAACTTTGTGCTTGTGTGAGGAGAGGAAATCATGCACATGATCAATGGAAGACAGATAAAGGCACCAATGCGTGAAAGTGTAGTACAAAAGAAACAAGTATGTTTCCGATAGTGAAACATGGTTGGAGAATCAAGAGTGAGAGCACATGAGATGAAAAAGTACAACAGTCTTTTGGAGTGGATATGGCAGTGCGAATACAATGAAGTTGGTGAGTGTCAACAGAAGGAGTCCAACAATTTAGCACAAATCATACTTGCCCGCGAGAGATACCATGCCTCGAAATTCCTGGTACTGTAGAAACAGAGTAACGTAAGAGGGGTAAACAGGGCGGTGAATACTGCCATCAAAACAGATATCTAAATAGATAATAATTCACAGTAAGCAAATTTCTCAACCAGTGATTCCACTCCAGAGTTGAGTATGTGACGTTTGAGCCAACTTCGTCTCAAAATATTGCCAAGTCATCTGAGGATGGTACTTTGGATACCACAATTTTACATCGAAGTGAACAAGGCCAAATCTAAGCGATAACGGATGAAATTGTCACATTTTCTGCGTCCAAATGTGGCAATTGTGATACATCATCGACAACCAGTGACATAGACAAATTGCTGCACATCGTCCGAATTGATGCAGAAACAAGAAGCGCCTTCAGGCAATCCGTAGACCAATGGCGAAGAATAAGGCGAGGTCCAGGAAGTTCCAAATTTGGAGCCGATCGCAGGAAACTGTCAAGGAAGGAATCAATGGTCATGTGGTCAAGCGAATGGATGCGACGAGCGACGTAATCCACAATTGATTTGTTACCGGATAAATCGAGTTCCATAAGCTGTGGAAAAGGGTCCACTATGAGGTTCAACAGATTGGGAGTATTAAGAGATATATCGTCGTCACGTAATGCGAGAGTGAACACTGAGTTCAAACCTAAGTGCAACAAATGCGGACACGAAAGGCCGAGGTCCCGTGACAGTCGCTTCAAGCGAGAGGCCAGGTTAAAACAAGTGGGAGGACCACCGAACAGACGGTAGCAGCCGTCGAGATTCACGTGAGTCAGCGATTGGGTCCCAATAATCGAATGTAGACAGGAGTCGGTAAACCAACCACAGCCAGAGAGATTCAGGTTGGTCAGTTGAGGAAATGACTTTGAGGGGCGTATTTCCTGGTAACTGAAACTTAAGGAAATGAAAGAGAGGAGTTGGAAGAGTAGCGTGCATGAGTATAGAATTAGGAGAAAATACCAAGACCGACTATGGCCTGAGAGCGAAGGATCGACAGCTCTGCGAGAGAGAACTGGTTCACGTCAAGTTGCATAACAAAACGACCTGACAACCTGAAGAGCTGCGCACAGATGAATGACAAAATGCAGTTCTACCAGACAACACTAAGTCAAACGTACCCGGACACTAGAGTCAGCATTCTCATCGAAACCATTCTGCTTATCACCCACCGGTTGAAAGATAGAAAGTCGAATCAGTTCACTTGCATATGTGGTGCAAGGTACCTCGAACACACGGCCAGACGTCAGTCAAATCGGATAGCGCAACACCGTAAGACCTCATTACAACGTGGCACGAATAGGAATGTCCACAGTTCCAAGCTGGAATACCTAATGGGCAGTGGACATCAGATAAAAACGAAAGATGCATTCAAAATAGTGTATGTCTCTTCAAAACGTAGCCCTACAAGACTCAAAAAAGCGCCTACTGACCATAGCAGAAGCAGTTACAAGCAAGCGGCTACAACCGAAACTGTGTAAACAGCGTAAAGTTGTGTACAGTCAAAACGTACCGTGGCTATATGCTGGTCAGCTGACTTCAGGGATATTGGTCTACGTAGCGTGGTTAACTTGGAAGTGATTGCCGCCGTCCCTCCAGTCAAGTCACAAGAAATCACTTGTGTTCCAATGGTAGTCGTAGTTGCCTGACAAGATTGACCGAAAACAAATTGCTTCGCCACCACCCTTTCAACAATATACGACAAACCAGACATGAAGGAAACGGGCATCTAGCACCAAAAAGATACGGTTGTTCAATGACGTTCGGTGAACCAGGGTAGGGCGGATCTGGCGACCCTGACTCACATCGGCATAATAATAATGATAATAATGGGGATAATTACATTAGAAGTATAAAGATGGAAAAACAGGGGGAGAGGAAGAAGTAAAAGGTACTAAATTTGCCCGGTGAGTGAGCAAAAGTAAAGATGCCAATGAATCCGTAATAGGGCCACGTAAGGTTGTGCTTCTAAACACCTGTATGATCGGTATCACAAACACCACCAAAGATAGTGTGATACGAAGCAACCTGACCCAGCCTTTCTGTTGATTCCTTCAGGTATATGGTCACATCGTCGACTGGTTGCTTTGGGAATTTATTCAGCAGTATTGTCAAACAATACAAGCTAAGTTGGTAGCAGTAAGCACGTGAAAAATTCGAATCAACAACCTTGAACGATTCGGGTTCAACAGATGTATCAAATAGTACGTCGGCAGGCATCAGTTGAAGGGTTTCAGTGCGACAGAAGGGTGATAACGGTCAGCAGACGTCGAGAGTCAAGCAATTCATGGACGCACTGCGGATTTCAGATACATGGAACGCATCGCACCCGAATAGCATGCGGCGCAGCTGTAACAGCAACAGACGCTCAGACTTGGGTGACGTGAATCCGCGCATGTGCTCGAAAGGATTATGATGGAGCAACACAGACGCATGTCTACTAGATCTCTATTTCCAGTATTCCGTATGCACAAAGTCCTAAATGCATAGGTCGTTGGTCCATGCAAGTGATGGTCAAACAATGTGGCGCATTAGTCCTAGGCAACAAACTTAAGTTTCAGCGTTTTCATGTAATCCAAAATGATTTCGCTCTAATTTTGTGTAAGGATCGCCGAAACCAGATGAAGTCGGAGAAGGTAGAGTAGAATCGCAAACCGCATTGTAGGATAAATCATTTTGTTGAGACCAGCTCCGTGTGTTTGGTACAACAAGATAGCCCGAAGCGCCAAGTTTCAGACAAGCTTTCTTGATCGTCTCGTGCAAGCTCACCGGCACGAAGTTCCGCAGTTACCAGCAGCCAAACTACACCTGACGGGAATATGGCACCTGTGTTATATTCTACAGGCACAGATGCTCCAGTGTGTGTAGGCCTGTCTACTGAAGGCACTTGGAAAGTAGAGGGAAAGAAAACGCAGAAAAAAGAAGAGTTTAGCCGCTGCAAAGCAACGACAGGCCAGATCACGGGAGGCGCGAGAAAATCCTCGTCCTGTAAGGTCAACTTTGGCCGACCATAGGCGTTTTAACTTCGTGATCTTCTACGCGCCTGAGTCCAGTGATCCAACTCCCCAGATACGATATGGTCATGACGTCGAATTTTTAAAAAGCCTAACTGAAAGACTCCTCGACATGGACTAGGACGTGTTGAAAGTGAGGCAAATTATTCGTCGCAGAAAGATGATCAACCAAGTCGACCAATGAGAATCACCTTTGTGGACGAAGTCAGATCGAGGCTTATCCTGTCCCTATTAAATAGGTTGAAAGGTCTGAAGCTCTCTGTTCACCCAGACTTAGATCCGGTGAATCGAGAACGACTCAAGTTTGTCATCATTGAACTGAAGAGACGAAAAGATGGTGGGGTAACGAATCCCCGTATCGTAAATTTTCGGGTCGCTTCCAAAATTCCACGAATCAGGATAAACAGATTGCTCACTTCAAGCATGTCCGGTGGTTCCTGCTGCGGCCTGTGTGTAGCCTTTAGTAACAATTGTAGTCGTAGGAACTTTGTCGTTTCGTTGCATCTGAGCGGCCAGACATAATAGGACTCGAAGAGACGTGGCTGAATTTTGAAGTGATAGCCCAGGGAATCGAACTCAGCGGCTACTCATGCTTCACCTGCGATAGACTACCGACTGGCCGCAGTGGCGTCGTGTTCTACATCCGGTCCTCCCTGTGTGGGAGAGTTGTGAGCGTCTACAGAAGCGATGATGGTCTGTGTGAGCAGCTGTGGTGCTCGATACACCTCAGTCGCGGGGCTCTGCTTGTGGGTGCGTTTTGTCGCAGCCCCTGAAGCATTGTTTGAATTGGCTGTGGCATCTCCAAAGCCAGATGAATCGTCCCTATTTTCTACTCATGTGTGATTTCAATTGCCATCGGATACGTTGGCCTGAAGTTGCTTACGCCAGGTTAGAATCGACTCTGGACTTAGTGTTCGTTAGCGACCAGATATTTTCAGCCAGTACTAGGGCACCAGTTGGAAGCTCTGATCATTCGATAGTCAAACTATCTCTTGTCGTCTACAGTAAGACGAACCACAAGGAAGTTACTGCAGGGAACGTTAAATTAAACGGAGACAAACCAATTCCTCAAACATAGCACAACGGAAAGAAAGGGTTGTCTGTACAGATTTCAGTTTGTTTTCGATGCAGATGTCTCAACATATTGTGGCCGGATGACAAGTTATCTGAACTTCTGTTTTGATCTCTGCTGTCCGATGGAAACTATTCTCATTCGTGCTGACCGATTCTCCTCAGCACTCCTCAGGCAGCTGCAATGGTTTAAGGAATGAGACCTCAAAGTTAAAGATCGTGCCTCAGTAAAGTTTCTTCCTCTACGCATCAGGGAAGAAATTCACCGCTTCAATCACAGCTACGTGCAGAAAATACTTGCCGTGAGAGTTGGCAGATGATGAATTTAGTGCGGTCACTCTTCATAGTACGTACTCAGATATAGACGTAGATTAAATCGCAACTTGTGTTGCTCCAGCAGTGACTCACCCGCAACTCGTCATCTGCACAGGTTCAGTGAGCTACAGATTCATCGCAAGTTGTTGATGTTTAAGCATTTCACAGAAAGATTATCCAGCTAAACTCAAGCAAAGCAAGCGGACCTGACCGGTTGTGTCCCTTCGTACTTAAGGAGTGTGCAGATTCACTAGCCCGATCGATAGCCGAGTTGTACACCATGTGTCTAAATAAAGGCAAGATCGCAGACTGTTGGATAGCTGCTAGCATAACACCAATACCGAAGCGACAGGTAAATATCGACCTATCGCGTGAACTTCAGTGACTTTAAATCTTCGAGAAGCTCATTCTTGAAAAATTGCTAACCCAATCCTGTCTGAATGAAGCATATCAATTTGTATACCGAAGTTCGAAGTCGATACAAGACGCGGCGTCTTGTCTAGTGAACTGTGCTATTGTCGCTATACAGCAAGAACAAAGCCATATGTGTATACTTCCTTGACTACACTAACGCCTTCGGTTTTGTTAACCATGAAATCTTGTTGCTAGATTTCCTGGCCTCTGATATCCAAACATAAATAGCCTTCTTGCAATAGCATTATTTTGCCAAACGTGCTCAGATAACCATGTTCAACGGCAGGGGTTCCTCGCCTCTGACCACTAATTTCGGTGTCCTTCAAGGATCCATTTTGTAGCCATTCTTATTCTCTACCTACGTTGGCTCCGTCCCTGTCCCTGAAGAGGCCATAATGCTGAAATACGCCGATGACGTATTAATCAGCGCCAATCAACTAACTACAGCCTCTTCGACCATGATACAATGTTGTCTAGATAAAATCGTACATTGGTCAAACTCCCGCGGCTTAACGCTGAATGCTTTCAAGTGCAAGGATATACTGTTTTCGCTGCAGATCATTACCAGAAACTCGTCGCTGACTGTCCTCAACTTTACATCAGTGGTGAAACCCTGAGCTACTCGACGTCAATGAAGTATCTGGGAATCCCACTGAGCCATGATTTATCGTGGTCAATTCATGTGAATGTTGTATTCATCAGTCAGGCGACTGTGCTTTTACGTCTCAGGTCTTCGTTCCTCCTCAGTCGCCCACCAGTTGATCCTACGATTCATCGCTGCATGTGTTCTACTACACTGCACCTACTGTTGCCCTACGATCTTTCCGTGCCTAATGGATATGCACTGCAGACTAATTCATAGGTTGCTGAAACACATATCTCGACGCAGTGGCATTTCTACATCAACCTTAGTACAAGAAATTGTGTCTGTGTATGTTAATTCGTGCGCAAAACTTGCTTCGAAAATACTGATATCAGCCATCGTTTATATAGCGTTTTACCCAACTGTAGATCTAGTTCAACGCCACGAAACTACGGAGCTATATATGCTTGCACGCGGGTCTACGGCTTATCTGATATACC